TGTCTCACTTCTAATTTCCAAATGAATTCGGCTACAGAAGTGATTAATTGAAGGTTTTAAAGAGCAGTGCAAATTTCTGACACAAACTGTATCATTCAGAATGACAGCCTTGTCACAACATTGTCTTTCCAAAGAGTCCATGTCACCAGTATCCTATACTCAGGAGTCCTTCAACTTCAAGCCCTGCCTCCCTCAATCCTCCAGGTCAAATGACTTTAATTAGAAGTGAACTTGAATGACATCAAATACAGGAAAGGTCAAGGAGCCCTCTGCTCTCTAGGATTTAAATTGATCCCACTTCTCCAGCACAGAGTCACAAGCTTTGAGCTTGTGATCCTCAGACTTGCTAGGATCCTCAGACTTCAGCTTCTCTTCCTCTGTTCACTGTACCACCTCATCCTTCCTTTTCAGTCTTTCCTCCCAGGGGATGGCTGCAGACTTCCGCTCCCTTAGCCTACTGCCTTCACAAGACTCCTGCAATTTCACTTATGCCCTCTTGAGTTCCTTCTTCAATCTAGCCCTGTCTCCTCCTCCCGACATGCCCCATAAGGTTAATATAGCTCTCATGGTTCTATGCCTGCATGAAGCTGATATATCCTATCATATCCTTATTATGAGAATCCACAGACCAGCCCAACCAATTAGAAATCAGTAAAGACTGCCCACAGCAAAGGCAGTTCTACCTTAACAATATCAGTGCAAAAACCCAACCTCAGTTCCCACTGTTAAGCTGGTCCTAGAGATACGTAGTGGCTCGGCCTCAGAAATATAATTGGCTTTTCACTAGTTAATGCAGTTTGTTTCCTTTTTTGCATTTTTAACTACAGGGATCATGAAAATAAACTCCCTACGTATTAGTCATTTCCACCTTCAAAAATATCAGGCATTAGAACAGCATGACAGAGTTTGCACTAGAAAGGCTATGACAGCCAAAGCAAAAAATGTTTTCAAAAGAACTTAAAAAAATAAAAATATTCCTACTGTACATTTTGAAATAAAGACCAACACAAGCTTCAAATCTTTTAAACTGCTGTTATTACTTCAGAGTTATTGTAATATGTATCATATTCACTTCACTGAAAAGAAATAGTAAGCTGAATTAATTCTTTTGTCCAAATAAAGTTACTGGAGCTACAAACACTTATGATTTAGTCTGCCTTATTTCCCTGGAACTCCCTAGAACATGTCTATCTGTTTTAAATGCTTGGTTCCAAAAGTTCTTCAACACTAGAATTTTTCACCCTTCCGCGACTAGCGGTTTGACAGTCTAATACATCCCATTGTTATCAAAATGGAGTTCATCATGCATTGGGGATGCCACATTTCCTATATGTGTTTTCTGCTATGTGAATTTAGATGCACTCTGTTCTACTTTGCTTGCAGTCAGGGCAAAGGCAGCAGTGCTTTGCCCAAGGACATGCTGTAAGCTACAAACTCCAGCCCTCAAGGTTTATTTTTGACAGCAGGGAATGCAAGTGCTCAGAGTAACAGCAAAAACGGTTTAATATAATCTGAATATGAAGTGTTTTCCAAAGCAGGCTGAGAAGGAAAGGCAAGGGAGGGGCTGAAAGACAGTTTGAGACTAGTACCATCTAACCAAAGCGATAGACTTTTTCTCATGGAGACACTTCATGACTTTCCCACAAACACCTGTGCAACGAGGAAAGCATCTAATATCTTTCAGTGGAGACCAATGTCCTGCCTCATTAAAAATAGCACAGAAAGGACACTACAAAAGCAGAGGAAGTGAGCCACAAGACTGAGGTGATGGTCTTTTTCCAGGAAACATAGCACTGACAACCAGCAGTTTGAGTTTCACCTAAGAGAGGCTGCAAGGAGTAGCAGAAAGAGCGTTCAGAAGGTAGCTACAGCTTCCACCTTCTGTATACTTCCTGCTTATGTTTGAGTTTTGTCAGGAGCTCCTCGTTCATCCATGCAGGTCTCCTGTTCTCTCCAGTTTCTCAACACATTCCTGCTTTATCACAATTGCAGTGCTAGGGAGAGAGGAAAGGGCAATGATCAATTTCTGATCCACTCATATTCTCATATGCTGGCCATGGGCAGGGTTGGCTGGACCCTCAGGTCCATAACAGTCACATCACAATTGATCTTTTCCAGAAAGCATCTTTAAGTGACTTTACCCTAAAAAACTGCTTTGTACATTGGTGCTCCCCAAAAGAAAGTAATTTTTCAAATAAAAAGATTCTTCAGTCGTCTAACACCTTTCCAGCACACACCCTTACCACAGTGAGGACATTTTTAAATTAAATTTTAAAAATTCCTTTATTAAATATCTTAGGAACACATCTCAGCACCCTAAAACCTTTCTGTTTCTCATCTGTGCTAATTACAACTACTGCCTCAGTTCACATGTAAGCAGCTCTTTCCTTCTCAGCCCAAACTTCTGTTTGCTCTTTCAGTCAGAGAATTCAGGTTGCAGCATGCTCCAGGAGGACATCTAGTTCAGCTTCTGCTCAACACAGGGTCAGCTGTGAAGTCAGAACAGGACTCTGCCCAGGGCTCAGGGCTTTATTCAGTCAGGTTTTGAAAACCTGCGAGGACAGAGACTACACAACCTCTCTGGGCAACCTGTTCCAACACTTAACTGCCCTCATGGCAAAAAAGTTTTTCCTTATATCTAGGTTGAACCACTTGTTTCAACTTATTTGTTGTCCCTCATCCTGCCCCCATGCACCGCTGTACAGAGCCCGTTTCTGTCCTCTTGATAAATTCCTCTCAGGTATTTGAAGGCTACTATTAGGTCTCCTCAAAGCCATCCCTTCTTCAGGCTGAACAAGCCCATTCCCTCAGCCTCACCTCATAGTGTGTCAGGGCTCTGAGTACATTACAAGGCCTTAATAGCCCTGATCAGCTTCACTTGAGGCCTCTACCCATACCTCTGCCTATGGGCTCAGTCCCTGCCTGAGCTATGTCGTAGCCATGTCTATCTCCAGCTCTGTCACAGTCATGCCTGTATCTGGCCATTGGCCCCGCTGATCCAGACCCTGACTTGCAGAATGACTTCCCAGCTTGACCTCAGTCCTGTCTCATTACTATGGACTTGCACTGGACTGTGTCTGACCCTTGTTACCATCACTGGACCTGACCCTGACTTGCTGATTGACTTGCCACGTTGATCTTGGGCCTGCCTTGTCACTATGAACTGGGGATCTGGACTCTCAGTTGGCCCTGGCTGCCATCCTGGGTCTGCCTCACTCACTTCACTCAGGTACAACAGGACTGAGCCTTGGCTGGTGGGGTGGCTGCCTTGCTGGCCAAGTTACCACATTCGGCTTCCAGCTCCCCATTCCTTACGGAGCAGCTGGGCTTACCCCAACATAGGACAGGTGCTTCAGCCCCCTGACCATCTTGGTGGCCTTCCACTGAACTAGCTCCAGTTTATCAATGTCTTTCTTGTACTGGAGGGCAGAAAATTGGATGCAGTATTCTAGATTTTGTCTAAAAAGTGCTAAGTAAACAGAGAAAAATCACTTCCCTCTATATACAAGCTCTAGTCCTGTTAATATAGCCCTGAATATTGTTGGCCGCCTTTGCTTCCAGAGCATACTGTTGGCTTATGTTTAGATTTTGTCAAGATTTCTCATCTCTTTTTATGCATCTAAATTTAGCAACATTCTTGCAATATAGAAAATTAATGGGGCATTGGTCACTTGCAAATAGCACAACACTGAAATATGATAAAAATGAAATGGGGTTTCCCTTGTCAAATCTAAATGCAGCAGAAACATTAGCATACTGTTTCTAAAACAAGCAATCTCTTGTGATCAAGGCCCAACAAACCACATGGCATGTCTCACAGAGCAACATTGTGAGTCAAAGTCCTGGATTCTCTAGTAGAAACTTTGCTACAATTTCACACGCATTTTAAATGTTAAAGTAACTCTTCCAGTCAGTGCTGCAGCCTTAACATTGCTTTGCTATTTTATACTGTTCCCATGCTTTACTTTTTTTAGTACAATATTTTGGTTTCAGTACTGGGCAGGGGAGGGGCTAACACACTGAAAACACACAACTGTATTGGAAACACTCTCATGAACAAGCTGAAGTTTTGGGCTGCTTTGGAAGAAAATAATTTAAAAATAGCAAGGAAAGCAAGGACTGTTGAACATGCATCTCTAATTGATAAATATTTTCTGTTGTAATAATCACAATGCTTAAGATAACACCGACATTCACAAAGATGGTCATTAGCTTTCAAAATTAACCCTCTACCCTCCTCAAGGGAGATGAGCATGATCATTTTAACTTCTGAACTTTGCCTGAATCATGCAAATGATGCTGCGTGAGTTATACTTTGACCCCAAGGTCTTCTTATGCAGTTTTATCAATCAAAAACATTTAGTTTTAAAGAAAGCGCAGATGCCCAAAACCAAAATTGCCATAAACTCCCCATCCCCATAATAGAAAAGGCCTTGTTTGTAGGGATTGTAATTTGAACAGCACAGATCTCCAAATAGGAAAGTGAAAGATCTGGAGACAAAAGCTACATTAGCTCCATCAGCTTTCATTCCTAGAACTCAGGAAAACATAAAATGGAAGCAAAGAGCATAGAACTATGACAAGCAACTTTTTTTCCCCTCTTAGCTCTTTTATTAATCCTCGGTATTATCAACCACACACCCACCATGTTCACAAGATATCATTTGAAAAAAAATTAAGTATTTTGATTACTAAGTTTGGCCTTTCATTCGATGCTGATATTAACTCTTCTCAATTTATTTCTTCAGCAGTAATTATATTCACTGGCTATAAAGAACTTCAGCTATCAACTGATCAAATAAACCTCTAAATCTATCTGTGGCATCTGCAACTAAGATCTTAGCTACAGTAATATGTTAAGTCTTCACCCATCCACATGGTGAAGGTAAAGTTTAGGTCCATCTGGGAATAACAGAGCACAAACAAGCTGAAAGATACAACTGCCATGGCTGTTCTGGAGAATACCCAACCTCGTCCCAGTCAAGTCCCAGGAGACTCACCCAAAGTCTTAAAATAAGTCCAATACAGAGTCAGGTAGGAAATTCAGGTGTTCCCATTCCTAGTCCTGTGGTTCAAACCACAAAACTACACAGAATAAAAGCACAGAACAAAAGAGTTGATAAAAGGGCTAAGTCAGGCAATGCAGCTTTATTCACCTTTGCAGTCTAGCTCTTCCCCTACACACCATCCTCATACTACAGATCCTCTTCTCTGCCCATCTGACATTCCCTGAGCTGAAGACCTTTTGAAGAGGCAAAGCTCATACTGGAGCTCCCACCTCCCACCAGAATCAGGGTGACAGGCAAGCACCCAAGATTCAGCAAGAAAAGTTTCCAAAAGCTTGACTAGAAAAAGAGGAAGAGCTGGAGTCAAGTATTACATAAGAAAGGGAAAGCCAGGATCTGCTAGCACACCTCTGCAGGCAGCTTATGAGGGTCTGCCCCATCACCAGCCCAGGCACTTCTCCTCTAATCACCCTCCTTGAGCTACAGTTTCCCCCCAGCCACCTGGACCTCGCTTCTGCAGCCTCGCTTGTGCCCTACCCTCTGCAGGGGCTTCTCCCCACTCCCACCTGCCCAAGGCTCAGCTCAGGTCCCTACCTCTGCACTGTGCTGCAGTTATGGGCAGAATGGGAGAGGAGAAGAAAGAAAAACTCCTCTCCTGCAAACAAGCAACACAGTACTATTTCAGGCACATTTTCCCTCAATAGTGGGGAGAAACCCGTGGATGAAGCCATCTCTTCCCACGGGACAACACAAGTTCTCTAGCTCAGAGCAGGACTGTGCACACACACCCTTCCCTCTCAACTAACTTTCCCATTTCCGCAAAAATTGCAGAGCCACTGACCCGGGGCGGGGGAGAGGAGAGGAGAGGAGAGCAAAGGGTTTTCACCACATAGCTCTTCACCCCTGCGAGTCACCCTTACCCACTCACAGCCTCCTCCCGCCCGCTGGGATCTCGCCGCTCCCCGGCGCCTCCACCGCCAGGCCGGGTCCCCCGGCCCCGTACCGCCGGCGTCCCAACGCACCCAGG